CTTGAAGCTGGAGGTGGGCCCCTGTACACCTTTTAAAGCTGCTGGAAAAGGCATCCCAGGCACCGAGTTCATCTTCTCTGTCTGTCTCCATCGTTGGAGGTATGCAGGGGTCTTTTTTAAAGAAGCACCACTACACTGGAATGGCCTGCCTAGCTGTGTTCTGGCACCGGTGGAAAACTCTTTTTTTAGGAGGGCTTTCTCTATGAAGGCTGAATTAACGTATTGGGGCTAAGGGATACTGTCCTTGGCTGGGTACCTGGTTTCTATGCTGCTGGTTGGTGCAGCTTTAATCTAGCACAGCTGGGTTACTGACAATACTTATATGTGATTCTAAAGTCTGTTAAAAGTTGTTTCTTCGGACTCATAAGGGATGGCTGGGCACATATAAAACAGAAATGTTGAAATATGATACGACCCGCCCTGACCTTGTGGGACGGGTGGGATACAAGTACGGAAAATAAATAAATAAATAAAATAAAAGTGGTTTGAAAGGTGTCACCACCCTCGGAAACATGTGCAGGAAAAATCAAACACATTTAGAGATGTGAAGGCCCGGAAAAAAAACGGAAAAATTCAGAAAAAAAAACGTTTTTTCCCCTTTTTGTTTTTTTCCCGAAAAATTGGAAAAATTGAAAAAAGAAAAAAAACTGATTATGGAACATTTTATTTTAACATGATGAATAAAATATTTTAAGACAAGGTGTTCAAATATTTTCCAAATCATTTCACAACAGACTCCCAGTATAAAACACCCCAGAGTCCAGGCCGAAGGACTGGTATCAGATAGATCTAATTTCTGTGCACTGAGGACAAGCAAGTCCTAGGTTACAAACTGAACCCTCCAATGCAAGAACAAGATGCATTTCTTCCTTTAGGAGGTGCTATTGTCAGAAGAAAATAAAAAAGTTTCAGTTTTGTTTTTGCATGTGAGTGGGAATTCTGTTTGAAATAATTGTTTGGATACACTATATTTTTAATATGCTAGTTGTGATAATTTCATGCCAAGTAAAAATGTCCATAATCATATTTTATGTTTCTAAAGTAACAGAATGACTTTCAATCTAGAAAAGACAAAAGCTTCAAAATTTCTGGAAATTTTACATCTCTCAACACATTATTTTAGGATGGGGGAGACATGTCCTGGCAGAAGAACATGTGAAAAGGATCTAGGGGGTCTTAGCAGAGAATACACTGAACATGATTCAGCAGTGTGATGTGGTCGCTCAAAAGGCAAAGGAGATTTTGGGCTGCATCAACAAAAGTACAGTGTCCAGATCACGCAAAGGTATCATTTTACTCTGGTCTGGTTAGATCTCACTTGCAGTACTGTGATCAGTTTTGGGCACCATAGTTTAAGAAGGATGTTAACAAGCTGGGACGTGTCCAGAGGAGGGCAGTGAAGACAGTGAGGGGTCTGGAGACCAAGTCCTGTGAGAAAGGCTGAAGAGGTTGGTTCTGTTTAGCCTGGAGAGCAGGTGACTGAGAGGTGATACGACAGCCATCTTCAAGTATCTGAAGGGCTGTCATATAGAGGATGGAGTGGAGTTGTTTTCTGTTGCTCCAGAAGGTCAGACCCGAACCAACGGATTGAAATTAAATCAGAAGAGTTTTTGGCTAAACATTAGGAAGAACTTCCTGACTATTAGAGAAGTCCCTCAGTGGAGCAGGCTGTAATGCTGATGCTGTGACTCATTATGAATCTGGACAGATCATGAGAGGGAGGGCAGGAAGGGAGGAGCCAGGGCTCGGCTCCCGTGGCCCTCTCTCATATGGTCGGGGTAATGCCAATCCCCACTCTGGGGTCAGGAAGGAATGTTCCTACAGGCCGCAGGGATCCTGGAGGTTTTTTGCCTTTCTCTGGGCATACAGCAAGGGTCACTGGGGGAGCAACTGTGAGTTTCCTGCATTGTGCAGGGGGTTGGACTAGATGACCCTTGGGGTCACTTCTGTTTCTGTTGCCTTCATCTCATATTTGCCTGTGCTTTGTTGAAGCCATACAAAAAACCTGCCAGACCTGTCTGACCAGAGGGAAAAGTGGGATGCATGTATATACCACACACAGTGATCCCCCTTTCTAGACCATATGCAGCTCTCTGAAAACATCAACATCTGGCTTCCGCCTTAGAGCCAAACTATACCTGACAAGGGAGACCCATGAAGGGCATTGTTGGACACACACTTGTGTGGGGGGGGGGGGGTCCTGATCTGAATCGATGCCATGGCTGTCAAGCTCGGGCCTCGCCTGCCATAGAATGCTATCCAGCCAAACTCCTGGTCTGTTGCGTGAGGGGTTAACTGCTTTCCTAGATGTGCTTCTTTCACTGTTTTATCTCCCATACCGTTTATCTTCTCTGCCAGGATGGGAGGGGGGGAGTGGATGCTGGTGTGGATGTCTGAGCTTGTGTAGTATGTATGGGACCATGGGAAGCACATGATCTCAGCTTCTCACCTGACCTTGGAATGTAACTGTTAGTTTGCAGGTGTTGGGCTGGCCTGGAGGATAGGCCTAGAACTTTGGCGGGCTGACTGCAAACTTTGATTGGTGGTTTGCATAGGGGGGCTGTCCTGCTTTTGGGATAGGGTCAGACCTGGCATCTGGTGGCCAGTTCTGACACAAAATCAGTCTATGCTTGGAATTTTTTCCCCTCTCAATAAACAAATCTTGCTACAATAAGAGTGTCGTGAGAGTGACTGCATCTAGGACTTGACATAGTGTCAGAACAGCCTTTTTCTCTCGACCTGGCGCACCACGGATGTGATGAGTGCTAGAGAGGAGGAGACTGAAACACAGACCCTCCCAAAGTTACCTGATGGCAAGGGGGGCACTGTGCCGCCTGGAGGGGAACCCCGGGGCCCTGATGTGAAGCCAAAGAGCCAACGAGCAGAGATGGGATGGTGGGATGCCCCAGACTGGGCTACTCACTCTCTTGGAGTGACAGGATGACGATTGGTGCCGGGTCTCGGGAGTGTTCCAGGATGACCCCGAGCGCCTGAAGGCCGTGAGACATCGGCTGGAGGAAGCTGACATAGAGCCTGTCTGGCAAGAGCTGAAGACCGGCAAGAGCACATGCAGGCAGATATTTCTCAGTATGTATCCCCATGTCAAGTGTGCTTAATGGGGAAGGGGGGGGGGATCCCCGGGCTGTTGCAGGACTTGACAATGGCAAGAGGGAAGGGTGGTTGACTCTTTGTCACGCATCATTTTCCTGAGTGGAAATGTCTCCACCCAGCTGCTTTAAAGTTCATTAGGGATAAAAGACAGGCACGATGGGGAACCTGAATTTCTTCTACCAGGGGTTACAACAATCCAGGGGCATGATTCCTGATCAAGGAAATGGCAGAGGGGGGGAAACTGATGAAATCCCAATCCATATGAACCATGGATGTGAGAGAGTTTGGCTCCTGTCCTGCAATCTGCAAACCATTCCTCAGCAGTGCCTTTTAATTTAATGAGGCAACTCCTGCAGAAAGGTGGAAAGCAGGACATCATCCTGTACTGTCTACGGATTTAGCACTGACTAAAAGAGAAGCAGAAGAGAAATACACATACATGCGCGTATATCTATTTTCCAGTACACCCTCTATTTGTTTCATTCTGTACTTCTAAGTATTATTGGAGATTCATACAGGAAAATGTAGTTTCCAGCAAGAAAATATAAATGAACAACCCAGCTAGTCATCTAGGAACAACCATGAGAGCTTTGCACATTAAAGTTAATGGACTCAAAGCATTCGGATTGCCTCCTTATGCAGCTGCACCTTTGCAGTCCAGCTCTGACATCTCAACACGTAGCGTTAAAAAAAGGACCTGTTATTTTAGTTTCAGATGCACATTGTGCAGAGAGGAACAATGCAAGGGATATTATTTCAGAGCCCTGGGAAAAATTAGCAAGTCAAATATTGAATCAGCCTCTAGCATATGCTAAGGAGATTGCTTTGATCTTATCCAGACTAAAAGCCCTATTATTGAATTTAAAGTCTGTGAACACATCTCAGACTGATATATAAAGCCTATCTGAATGCAAGTTTGAGAAGCAGAAGATGTTTGACAAAGGCAGGGGGGCAAAGAATATTTTAGCTGAAAACTTACTGCATGGGGGCAGCTTCTTCTAGATCCCCTCCCTCAGCAACCTGAGGCAACAGGCTTTTTTTCTTTTCTTTTTGTAAGAGCAGCCCCAACGCAGAGCGGTCCAAGGATGTAACCATTTCACCTCTGGCACAAGGGAGACGAAAACTCTCTCTCTCGAAGGAGTCCTAACTGTGAAATAACAAGGCAGAGAGCTGGGGGAAGACACAGCCTCTCTGGGGTATCCTGTGGGGCGCATTTAGCAGCGAGCTTCCAGTGGGAGACAACCTCTGAAAAGATGTTGGGTGACCTTTGGAAACAGTCAACCTGCATCACGAGCGAACTGGGGAGGTTAAATGGCCCCGCACCAGGGGCCACTCAGTTCAGCTGGGCCAACAATAGACAGATTAATCTTGAAAATCTTACACAGTCACATCAAACCTGGTGCAGGCAGCCTTGCCCTATTCTCACCAGCTCAAGGTTGCTGGTGTAGACAGACCACATCACTTGCAGCATGGCAGCATCCCTGTATCGCGCAACGGCAGAGCATCTGCTGTGCATGCATTACATTCCAGTTCGATCCTTGGCACTTCCACTTCAAGGATCTCAGACTGCGAGCACCAAGAAGGACAAGACACCCGGGAGAACGGCTATCAGTCAGAGGAGACAGCACGGACCTCGATGGCCGGGGGGTCTTCGTAGACTGAGGCACCCTTCACACACTCACACAGGGTCTCTGAGGTTTACCAGATGGTGCTCCAGCGTCAATGAGTGCTGCTGATACCATTTTGAATGCTAGAGGACCTGGCAGTATATGTTTAAAACTGTGGTTTTATTCAGTCAGCAACAATCCATGAAGGACAGACACCCCACCATGTCCAGGGAAGATAGAAAGGTGCTCCTCATAAGCTGAACGCATGCCAAGAAAACTTACCATTTTGTTATTGATTTCATGAAAATGGATTTCACAGACTTTTTCGACCACATCTTCATTTTCAAAAGTTACAAAGCCAAATCCTATTTAAAAAGAGAGAGAGAGAGAGAGAGGCACATTAAATGGGGGGGGTCTGCTTTCTGTTGGGTTTCCTGCAAAACATTCTTGAGGTGTTGTGCACACAGGCGTGTATTGACAAATCAGTGTGTGTGTTTGTGTCAGACATTCTTATGATTAGTGTGGATTAAGTCAACCGGAGGGGGGCTGCCAGAGTTGGTAGTTATATATTTCCCTCCATCCTCTAATTTTCCTATAAATTTAAATAGTTATTTGCCTGGGATAGGGTAGATGAAACATGACATAAAAAGGACAATAAATCTCTGCTGCCGCTATAGCTTTATGAGCCATAATTTCCCTCATAGCTTTTCCACCTGTCCATGAAGCTGCAGAGGCTCCAGCAGTAGCTTAAACCCCGTGGGACTCTCCCCATTATGGACCTCTCATTAAGCAGCAAGGGGCGGGAGGGAAAGGGTCATCAGCAGAAAAGGAATACTGATGAATCATCCGTTAGCAGGCGGCGGTGGCGGTGGCAGGGAGGCGGCAGCACTGCTTTTACAAACACGCTCTGAGCAAGTACATGCCTCGGAGAAAAAACACACGCACAAAATGGCTCGCCTTTTATTTATGAGGGTTAAGAGAGACCAGCTTTGCTCTCCCTGGAAAGCAGTCGGGATAATCAGCGAGCCTTGGATCTCTGCGGGTCCCAGGCTGTCCTTTCCCTCACTGCGGCAGTTCAACCCTACGGGTCAGCCAAGAGGTGGCTATTTGTCTCTTTTCTTCTTGAATTACTTCCTCTAATACCTCATCAGGATATCCTGAGGCCTTTAAGGGACTATGAAAGTTGAAGACCTCTCCATCAGCTCACTCATCTTTTCCACACTGCGGCTTCAAACGCTGCACCTGATTCAGGCCAGTTTAAGGTTGTTTGATGCCTGCTGTCTGCCCGTCAGCTAAACGCTGTGTTTACCGTGTCAGGCCTTCCCCGTGCCAGGCAAAACCAAGCCGAAGGTTTTTGGCAGCCAACGCCAAGTCTGCATAATGATTCCCACACATGTCTCTTCAGGGGAGCAGGCGAGGGCGGGGGAAATCTATTGTCAAGTTTCTGGCTCCCGCTCAATGAAGGAATAAATATAGAAACCCATTAAAATAAAGTGACAGCTCCCCAAGTGAACCTATAGAACAGAGCCTGATTCCCAAAATAGTGCCATGAGAAACTTGGCAGCTACTAACAGGACAGAAATTCAACACACAACAGACTCACAGGCTTTGCTCCACGTGGTCAGGGGGGCTCAGAAAAGAAACCATAAAACTGCCTGACGGTGACCCTCTTCTGCAAGAGGCCCTGCCTCTCTCGAGGGACTGTGAGCGCCTGTCAGAGACAGGGTCTTTCAGGCTGTGATGCCTTGCCTGTGGAACCCCCCCTTCACACACACACACACACACACACTCATTCACCTAGCATTTGCTGCTGATGAGGTTTGGGAACCATATTCTAGCTTGCCCACACTGTGAAAACGCATGCTTGGGGTTTTTGCTCACGGCTTCTTCCCTTGCTCCCCTGGGCTGGTTTTAATGTTGGCTTTGCTTCCTTGTATGTTTGGCTCAGGCCCCGGTCACACGCGCAGGAAACTGCGGGGGAGAAGTGTGGCTGTTTGCCCCGGGGCAAACTAACACGCAGTAAAGTGATCATACCTCCTGTGGAGGTTCTGTGGAGGTACCGTGGAGCTTCCGTGGTTACGGAGAGGCGTCGATCACAACACATGCCTGCGCGCAACGAAGAAGCGCGCGGCGCGGCGAACTGGGTTTCTTTTTTTGTGTACACTACGAATGCGCATGCTCCGTTGAGTGCTTATGCGCAACCACGGAGACTTGGGGAAAAAAAAACCTTCTTCGCAAGGGGACATGGACGGGCGCCGGATGCCACCGGAAACGCGATCAGACGCCCGCCCTTGCCCCGCAGTTTCCGGAAACTAGTACCTCCGAGGTACTAGTTTTTTGCTCCGTTTTATCGGCGGTTCGCCACAGTTCAACCACGGGAGCTCTACGCTCCCCAGATGTTGCCGTGTGATCGTGCCAGGTAACTCCGCCTCTCTTCCGTCTATTTAGCGTGGCTTCTGCTCCGTGTGAACGGGGCCTGAGACAGTTTTAGTCTTCTCATATTCTTTTTCTTAAATCAGTAATTAAAACACATAAGAAAAAATGTATATTTCTGCCAGAATACTCATACAGGCAGAATTTCAAAAATGCCACTTATTAATAACATTTTACCTTATACCATTCTTTCCCCTTGCTTTATCTATTACAGTGTCTGGTTTAGCTGGATTCCAAACAGGCTGTTTGAGCACTGATGGAGTAGCAGGCACCTTCCCAATAACAGAGTTTACTTGTGGATGGCTTTCACTGTGTTATTGGATATCACTGTCTAAGAACTACTTTAAGAACTATATTCTTAGCTTGATGCCTCTCATCCCCAGCTCCCCACTTATGAAGCAGGGCAAGGCATTGCAGTTAAAATCCCCGGAGAGACCCAGATTCAAACCCCCACTCAACCAGGAGGCTCACTGGTGACTCTGGGCTGGCTGCTTTCTCTCAGACTCTCCGGCCTCACAAGGTCATTATGAGAATACAAGAGTGGAGGAGAGAACACTCTATGGTGCTCTCAGTTCCTTGGGCAAGATAAAAATGTAATAAATAAAATGTCATGATGAAGTAACACAAGTATTTAAAATAAACCAATACACAAGATCAGTCGTAGGAAATAATTCACACAAATAACTCTCTGTAGAGTTACAAAAGGAAAAACAGGTCCATATTCCCAAGTAGTTTACAAGCTATAATTAAAAAACGGGAAACAGTCGAGTGGGAGATGGATTGGGGAGGGGGGATACAGATGGCTCTGAATAACACAAGCCACATTTACAAGCCCGCCTTTTTACCTGCCCTCTCCTCTCAGAGCGCCATGGCGCCATCACAGTTTGTCAGAACACGTGGGGGTGGGGGGAGTGGAGTGGCTCCTTGCCCTGGGCTCACGGTGAGCCCACTGAAGGACAGCTGGGGAGAGCCTCAACCTTGCCTGCCCCCAAGTAGTTACTTCACTTGTAAAAGTTGGACTAGAAACCATATTCAGTATGAAGCTGCATTTTTCAGTGGCTGAACCATATTTTTAAAAATCTAGCTCAGTTTTTAAAAATTTTCAGCTTTAACAAATTCCCTTTTTAAAAAGCTGGTTTAAAATAATATCTGCAGTTAATGCAAACATGCACGCCGTTAAAACTGAACTCGTGACCCTCTTATGAACTTATGACAGGCTGCTTTTCTAAGCAAAGCAAGAACTGCGGAGAAAACATCTTATTCAGACATAATACAACAGAATGGCTCTTGTTATTTGCATTATAATAGCTTGATACGAAAGATCAGGGACCAGCAAGACACACAGCTCCGCCTCCCCCTTGCTACCCACCCACTGAACTATCTGGCCGACCTGTTTTGCACCCGGGGATTCCCTGACCTCCGCAATTGGCTTGGCATTCTAATTATAAACCTCAGTCAAATAACATTTACCTTCCACCTCATGGAGAACATCTATTTGTTTCCATCAACCTTTGCTTTTGAATGACATTATTTGTGTTTTCACAGGGAGAGGGGGCAGACTGAAGCAGAAAGAACCACTGGAAAGAAGCGGCACCTGCTAGTGGAGAGTCCAGCCAACAACCGGCCCGCTAAGTCCTGCCAAGACCTTATTTGGAGCGCTAAGCAACTAAGTGATCTAAAAATAAGCCAGGCATTGTAGATAATTTTCTAAAATAGCAAAAATATTACATTGAATATTTAAGAGATTTATGCCCTCTTAAGTTCTATAGAGGCTCTGTCCCATTTTAAATCAACATATTTTATGGTTACAGCAAATAATCTATTAGGCACCTCTATTCAGGAACAGTGAGATTCGAGCCCAGCAGGACCTTACAGAGCAACAAGATTTTTTGGGGGGGAGGGGGGGAGATGAGCTTCAAGAGTCAAAGCTCCCCTTGTCAGATCTGGCTCTGCTGCACTGCAGACCCACGTGGCTTCCCTCCCAAACAATCTGTTTAGGAAGTAGCTAACTAATAAATGGGAAATGTTGGTTTAAATTGGCCTTTCCCCCTTGGTGATTTAAAAATTTCCTCCATTAAAAACCAATCCCATTGGAATTTCTTGTATTGTTTTAATCTATTGTAACTTGGAGATTGTTCAATCAAAGTTGGCATATAACTCATTAAATTAAACTGACCTAGTTTGTACACAACAACATCCTACCTGGCAGAACCCCCCCCTCCCCCGAAGTAATTGCTGAGGAGAAAGCACTCATGAGGATTCTGAATATACCAGTTTCACTGATAAACTTCAGTCTGACAGTCAATAATTTAATGTTCAACCGTGTGTGTGTGTGTGTGTGTGTGTGTGTGTGTGTGTTAAATGCCCTCGATTAATTTCTAACTTACGGCGACCCTATGAATGAGTGACCTCCAACGCATCCTATCATTAACAGCCTTGTGCTCAGGTCTTGCCAACGGAGGGCCTTTTTGTGCCTTCCTTGATTGAGTCGATCCATCTCATGTTGGGTCTTCCTCTTTTCCCACTGCCTTCAACTGTTCCTGGCATTGTTGTCTTTTCCACTTTCTCATAATGTGACTAAAGTATGACAGCCTCAGTTTAACCATTTTAGCTTTTAGGGAGAGTTCAGGCTTGCTTTGATCTAGAAACCCGCTGATTTTGTCTTTTTTGGCAGTCCATTATATCCGTGAAACTCTCCTCTAACCCCACAATTCAAAGGAATCAACTTTCTTCACTGTCCAGCTTTCACGCCTGTACAGAGTAATGGGGAATACTGTGGCATGAATTAGCTTGATCTTGGTCGCCAGCCACCCATCCTTGCGCTTCAGGATCTTCTCTAGCTCCTTCCTGGCCGCCCTTCCCAGTCTCCGTCTCCTCCTGATTCCTTGGCTGCAGCCTCCCTTTTGGTTGATGATGGAGCCAAGAAACAGAA